AAGCTTGAGGCAGGTCAACATGAGTTCAGACGAAGCCAGACTGGTAAGTGTCAGTCCTGAGACTTTGCACACTACTATGGCTTGGCAACAGCAATACCAATACCGTATTACTGGGCAACAGGGCTACAGAAGACACTCGGAAAGCACAGTCTCCATTTACAGGTCATGGAAGTCTCTCCCTTGTTACATTCCCCTGTAAAAAGAGGTAATCAGTGAATATTTCACAAGACAATACTAAGAAGATATAGTAATGTATTTCAAGAAACGTTTATATTTTTGAGCTGGAGATAGTGAGGCTAGAGGAATTCAACAATATCCTTCACTCACCAACCTTCTGCACAGGGCAGCTTTTGACAGCCAGCAACCTGGCAGGTTGATGTGGAGAAGCAGAGAGCTGTGTTGTGAGGAAAGGACTGGGACAAAGGCACAGACTTACCCTTTAGCATGTTTACAGCAGAAAAGAAATCAAGGTGCTAGAGACTCCTGAAACAGAGGAAGTAGTCCTTAGGAGTGGGAGGCTGTGCTAAGGGAAGTGCCCCAGAAGAAAGAAGGGGCAAGGAAACTGAAACTCTAGAGTGTATCACAGTGGGTTGAAATTTCTGAGTAGGAGAGTGGCTAAAACAGCTCCTGAAATTAAGACCAGTGTCAAGTCATAACTTCATGTTTCCCTCTTCTGCTGAGAGATTAGATCGTCTTTCACTTTACAGTTTTATTTTGTACTGTAGAACAACCGTTGTTGACATATTTTTTTCCATATTCTTTTGAGACACCCTGTGCTGGGTTCCCAGCAGTTAACGGCACTATTGGGTTTTGTCACAAATCTCCCATGCCAGCCACAGCCTCTGAGGCTTCTTCATGCCTCTCATGCCCCTACTGTCACAGGCTACTGATGTCCATGTCCCTGAACTGCTGGAGACCTGAGAGACTCTCCAAAAGCAGGTCCTGGGGACATTTTAGTGCACAGGCTGTAATAAGTGGAGAAATGTGTTTATACTGCACAGTTACAGGTACATCTGAGCTAGGTCCAGGACTAGCAGCCATGTGACCTGTTCATCATAGCTCTCAGCTGCTAATTAGCCTGAGCACAGCAGAACACTTTTTTTATCTCACAGGTTTGTGTCTCTGAAGCAGTCTCTCTGTGTGAAACTGTATTCACTGATTGGTACATTTCTTATTTTGAAAGTGACTTTGTTATCTCTTCATGACCCTGAACTGCCCATTGTAGAAATTGCACTGGAAAAAGAAGTTATTTCTAGCACCTAAAGCACACTTTTTCTAAGTCTTTGCCACCTAATAGTGTGTGTGACTTGTGCGCTAACTTTGTTATTGTGAAATAATCCTCAATGTCTTTTGAATGTCACACAGCATTTGCCAAATAGCCTAACCTCTTGAGACTGTGTGGTTCCAGGGCTGGAAAGCTGCCTGGGGCTGCCAATGACAGCGGTCTGCCTGGAGACCACTGCCTTCAGCATCTGATGGCCAGCAAAGAACAACCGGTAGGAGCGTTGAATAAATTGTTCATTTATACAGAGTATAAATGCCTCTCTTTGGAGGCATATACTCATGGTTTCCCAGACTTACTGAGAAGATTAGCTTAAGTAATGTAGCATTATAAGATAAAGTTTAATGTGATGTTTTTCCAGAGCTTTATCATCCTGAAATATTGTGTGATTTCTGACATAATTTCAATGAGTGGTTTCTATGGGTTGATTCCCCCTTTTTTTCATACTGCTTAAGCATCTTAATTGAGAGTTCTACCTGTGTTTTCCTGTTCATTCCTAGGAGCTTGAGCAGATGCAGCCAAAAAAAAGTTGAATAAATGAAACTCCAGTATTTAGTCATAAATTAACATCCAGTTTTCTTCCCTAGAAGTGAAAGAGGCAAGGAAAGTAGACATTTTCTACAACTTCTGTGGGTTGTCTCCCTTGACCTCCTGTCACTGTTCCCATTGGGAGGGCATAGCCCCTTAGCTGGGTCACAGGCCTCTACACCTGTGAGACGATAAGGGCGAATCTGGATGTCAACACACAACAAAACAGCACTTACTCTCTTCTCACACCAGGTGCAGGTCTTCATGTTTCCTATGGAAAGAGGGGAGCTTCATAGGGCTGAGGAGATATAAAGCCAGAGTGTGCACAGCCTCCAAACACTGTTCCTGAATAGGCAGAACCTCGCTTTCAGGAATTTTTCTTCCTGTAGAATGATCTCCCACCTTCATTTTTTTAATCTCCCAAGAGCCCTCATCAAATCAGATTTCTCATGACCCTAGTCTGGGGAGGTGGGCCAAATGTGATATGTCTAAAATTCATTCTCACATCTTCTTAAGGCTGGGCTGTCAATAAGGACTGTGGAACATTACAAAAGCTGTGAACTTGGCAATTGCAGGCTACAGAAAAGCCAGGAGGAATCACCGACAGCACCTTATCTTACATGATGTCCTGGCTTTTCTAACTCTCCCTGTTCTCCTTTGCACTGTGTTGCACAGTTTTATTACACTTTATTTATCTTAAAGGTCTGGAAGGGATTTAATGGATGTGCACATTTGGATGTTTTGTTGCATGCTGCCAAGTGGTCTTGGACTAGAGTAAGGTCAGGCTTTCTTATCATAGTGTCATAGGCATCATACCACAAAACAGCAGAGAAACATGAAACAGGAAAGTAGAGGATTGTGAAATATGGCAGATGAAAATCAATAGCTAGAAAGTTCAAGCAGGTCGAGACACATTTTAGAACTAGCTAGGGAAATGTTACCAAACATGGGAAGTGTTTCTTAGCACTTTAGCTGGCAATCTGATATCAATGGTAGGTGTTACAGTTTGGTCCTTGGAGGTACATTAATTGCTTTTGTTGTGCAACATCTGATTAGGAGATCTGTTCCACTAATTTAATGGAACGAGATTGGGCTAGATATTTTGGCATATATATTCACACTACCACACACAGCACCAGGAAATCCAGATGGCATGAAACCTGAATGATCCTTGGTGCTTTTGAAGTGGTATTTGCAGTTGACAACATCTCAGCTCATGAAAACTAGCTGATTTGGTTATAAGTAGATTGCAAAATTGTTTTACCAACTTTATTTTTTGTCAGAACCCTTGAAATTGAGTAAATAGTACATCTGCTACCTGCTTTATTCCAAGGAGAACATAACAGCTGCAGAAAAAAACAGATTGTCGTTGACAAGTTTTGTGCTGTCTAAGCTGCAGTGATGCTGCTCATCGGGAAAGTGTCAGAGTGTAAGCGCTGGCCACAAAACGTTTCCATCTTCCCTTCTTCTCAAAATGCCAATTAAAAAAGTAATATACGTATATGTATATATACCTATAACTTCTGTTTCTTCTCCCTTCCATTTTAATCTGAAACATCAACAGATAAGATAATCATACATGTCACAAAACATGTTAAATAGAAATGCTTTTATCCAAACTCCAAAATTCTAGCCACAAGGGGAAGATATCTGACCTGAGATGCTGGCCCATGTTTCTTTCAATCATTAAAGTGCCTGCACAGTACAAAACACCACAGAAATACATGAACAGAGGGCTTTGTTTCCAAGTATCTAGAAGTCTTCTGAGAAATTAAACAGTATAATAATTGAGCTGCAGTGCATTTCTTATCCATTGAGGAATGAAACCTAGAAATGTTAATTACGCTATCAATCATAAATGAAAGAAGTGTTTTCTATACTATGTAGCTAACAGTAAGAATATTTTGGCACTGAGGTTAGAAATGTATTTGAAATTTTTAGGAAACATTAAAAAATGCAATTATGTTTTCACAAGGAAAGGTAGAACTAAGAAAACCTATAATACTTTTTATTAGCCTAGAAAATACAATCTTTGACAATACCCAGGCTGTGTTTTTCCTGGTTTCAGGTACTCCCTTGTTTAACTTGAAAAATTTTGTTTACAGTAACACCACCTCAACATAGATATTATTTTTTCACTGTGAATTTTTATTGGGATTTTGAGAACAAATCT